ATAATTATAGCAAGTTTAGGTTACATTCTAATTGACACTAGATCTATCTAATGTAAGAATCCCTTACCCAAAAGTTGCAGGATAAGAATTTAAAACTTCTGGAGGAACATAAGCAGCTGTCCCCACAAAGGTGCAAGCCTTATCATCTGAACAGGACATATATAAGAACAATCAAAGTCATCACTCAATGATAAGTTTACCTGATGCTGCATTTTGAAGGATGGTGATACGGCTATCCAACAAAGCTTTGCGCAACTGAAGTTTGCAATTTTTATATGTCCTTCTGCAGTAAGAAGAAGGTTCTCTGGCTGCCATTCAAATAACTATTAGCATCGCCACATGGCAATAAATCTGTGCAATCATGTGGTGAAGTACCTTAATATCTCAATGTATCAATCCCAGACTATGTATATATTCCAGAGCATCTACAACTTCAGCAGCACAGAAGCGGGCTTCCTCCTCTGACAAACGACCTTTCTGTACCCAAAAGAATTTACTGGATGTTGGACACTGTACAAAGACAAACAATGCAGACAAGAGGCAAGACACTCTAGAAGCACGACTAGAATTTTGAAGTCCAGGAATTACCTGACACTAGGAACAATAAAAACTGGGGAATCTAACTAGACAATACTTTCATACTTAATTTGAAAAGTTCAAAGATGGCTATCAGTTCACTAGAAGTCGCTGGTAGAAAAAACGAAGAATGTGCTGTGGACTTGGATTTATTTGGAATACTTATGCTTCAATTAAAAAGTTGCTTCATGGAATTGTTACAAGTTCTGAATGTTTTCCATGGATACAGGAGAAAACACGTACTCCAGACTTACCTTGTTTATTTGATCAAACAGTTCTCCACCATCACAGGACTCAAGTGCCATGTCTTCACAATAAAATCAAAGGAACCAATATCAAATGATGTACACAACTGAGAAATAGTCATACATAACAAAGGAAAAGAGCAAAAGGTCTTATGTGAATATGGACGATTGACCAAAAATACCTACACAGAAAAATTATCTTGAAATGTAAAAAATAGCCGCACAATGCCAGGATGATCCAACTGATCAAGTACAATGCGCTCCAACTTCACGTAAGCGGTTTTATTTTCTTTGGTGATGAGCTTTTTGTCCATAACCTTCAAGGCATATACAGTTCCTGTGTCTATCTTCTTTGCTCTCACGACCTGGTAACGTCATTGAGTGGATATTACTTGAATGTCACTAAAAAGAGGTAACAGATGCATCTGAAAATACAGACCTGAAGGAGCAAATAATGAGCTCTATATATATGAATAATGCAATTAGTTCAGAAACATAACAACAATCTAGACAAGGAGTTCAAACAAGAACATTATGACAAGGCCATTCAAAATGTAATAGCAATCACGAACCACCAACACCAACTCCCCCTCCCCCAAAGAAAAAAAGTAAAGAGGAGTCAAAGAATACTTAACATGCATCAGGAAACTTTTGGTTCAAGATACATAGATGACAGTGAAATAACAACTCTCTCCTTCACATCGTGGAAAGATTGTGTATATGTAGTGTGAGCTTTTCATACAAAAAAGGAAGAATGCCAGAATATGTAAGTTGCTGAATCAAATGTGTTCACAGTGAAACCGAGTCAATTCGAACAAGCACATTTGTTGCAACAGATAATATTAATTAAGCAAGCCCAGTGACGGCAGATAACATTGTTCCCCATAAAATTTCAAGCCAACGTTACCTGGAACATGCATCATCTTGATATATGAAAATATGGTACAGTAGCATTGGGATTGTAAAGGTTATACTGTTGAAATAGGTTAAAGCATTTCTAAATACCAGGACATTTTCTTTTTAGGAGTTATGATTAGTGATACATAATACAGTTATATGCACAAGATTTATTTTTACTTCCAAAATTTTACAGTTCATTGCAGAGAGTAAGTAAATACTCTCTTGAGTTTAAAGAGAGTTCATATTAAGTTAGATAGTGTCGCATGACTCACAATTCATTTTGATTCCTAGGATCAGGTTTAGAACTTTATTTATATTCGGTCTTGGATCAGATTTAGACATTATGGCAGACCTAATTTAGAGTAGATTTTATTACTGGCAGCTGACATGTAAAAATAAAATGCTGTCTAAAAGCAATGAATATTCCTACATCACTTACTACATAATATGTGACTAAAACTGTAAATCGTGCCAGAAAACAAGAGTCATTAATCAAGGAACAAAGAGGATTCTTGAATCTAAGCAGAGCCAAAAATGAGCAAATGTCAAGTAAATATTTTAAATAGTAATCACGCAGTAACTTAACACAACAATGTCCAAGTCACAATCTAGAAGAAACACGCCACATCAATGTAAATCTCATCCTGGTAAATTTGACTTGCGAACAAGTATATTTTAACCACGTATACGGTGCTTCAATTGAAAGAGAATTATATAGACTTTGTTTGAGATCATAAATGGCCACAAATCCAACTCCAAAACCCAGCTTTAGTACAGAACTGATCATTATTGCTTGGATATGTTATTATTTATATGCTTCCATTGTTAACACAAAAACTATTGCTTAACTATCACAACAGTACAAACTAGGATAAATGAATTCAAGTTTGTGAGTAATGCGAAATGATGTGATAAGAGTAAAAGAGTCATGTAGCATTACAAGAGACTTCCAGTGATTCCTGCACGAACAACAAGCTTGTGTGGAACGGTGTTGACATCAATACACTAAAATCGTATTCTGCAGCAGGACATAGAAAAGTTCCTCAATTATGGGCCACCAAATCAGATTAAAAAGGTTTGACAGCAGAGAAACAGTTAAAAGAATATATAACTGCACACACAAGCAAAAACATGTGCAGTGCGTAGCATGCCCCCACCCCAACTCACCTATAGATTTCTCCGAGAGAGTAATATACATTAACAATCCAGGAAGTGGGAGCACTAAATGACATGCAAAATGCCACTACAAGAACAAAAAAAAAGTGAAACAAAATCTATGAATTGTACTCAAAAGAAGTAGCATATAAGAAAATTTGTCAAACTATATATGCAAGCCTTAAGGATCATTCCAGAAGTAAATGTGACATGACAGTACAAAGTCTAATTGTGATGAAAATTTCAGATTTGGTATTTAAGATGAATAATTTAATTTCTCCTGTAAGTTGCCATGTACAGAACCATAAAATTTGTTAGATGGATTCAATTAAGTTAAGGTTCATTGCTTAGTGCAATGATGAAAGCTTGAATTGACAAGCGTGACGACACAGGTTTAAGTCTGAAAGCAATGAATTTCGGCAAAATAATGCTAAAAGGATATGTCTCTCTCTAGTCGTCTCTCCTAGCACCTTGGATTGGCAAGACATGTAGTGGGTGGTACCTCTAGATGAATCCAACTAAGTTCATTATTCATTGTTTTTGCATTTAAAATGGATGGAAGGCTATATAAGCGAAGGGTGTCATTTTAGCATTTGGAATATATATGACTATAGGCAATAGTATACTTCAAATCTCTGTTTTAAAATTTAATATTTATTACACAAAGCCGAGTCTACGATAGTCAGATGGTTAACAAAGCAGGTATGGTAGTCTTGAGAAATGCTTAATTTGTGAAATACTTGAACCACTTATATTTTCCAAAATTATTTGATCACCCTGTTGGGGTGTCTGGGGGATGAGGGATCACAAGAAGGAAATAAGCATTGCAGCCCACAGCCTTGGTATATGACAATGGATTTGTAAATTGTCCGAAGGGAAGACTTCAGAATCAGAAAATGGGCTTTCTAGTCTAATATTTTTTAGACCATACAAATCAAATGTATTCTGAAAGATTATTCTACCCCTAATAACATAAACAATGATTTACACAACCATGGGAGGCCTATGCCTCTATACTTGCCTTGAGACATGGCACAAAGGAACAAATAAAGGCTTCCACTCAGACCACAATTTTGGTGTCTACATATCATATATTAGGCCCAACTTATAGCAGAGTAATGTCTTGTAGATTAGCTGAACACATGTTCTACCCAAAGAGTGAAAACTTTGAGAATCTTCTCTCATTTTAGCAATTTCTTCCTTTTTTCGTTAAAGCATCACTGATTCCCTACACATTTTTTATTTTTCAGAAGTCTTTCAAAAACAAGAATTATGTTACGAACTCCACATAAATGAAAATATTTAAGGCCATCAACATTGTTCATGGTTTCATTTTTTATAACTAAAGCAATTAAGCGTGTTGGAAATTTTATGATGGATGAATTATTCAGATTATATATGCTTGTATATCTGTTATCAATTATAATTTACGTTCGTGGCTGACACCACACACTATCACTTTTGTAAAAAAGAATGCAGTATTGAAATAGACATATAATTTAATGAAATTCCCCAATTTTTACGAAACTTCAATGTTTAATCGGTGGTTGGGTTTTATACATTATGATCTTGGAAAATAAGAGAAAATAGCAATGCATTGCGTGCCTCTGGATTACCCAAATTCTAAATTTTTGATGAGTAGACCAGAAGTTGAATATTTGAATAGTGTATGATATCAAAAGGATGAGAAATGACTTAAGAAATCCATATTAAGAAATAATCAGACATACCACTTCTGTAGTTTTGTCAACGATTGATAAGGCTATAATTACTGTTGTGGGGTGGAGAGCTCTCAAAAGTAACTTATTATTAGCTTTGCGAAAAAGGAAGGAGAATACAGCCCCTTTTTTCCCCACCCGATGGGAACCTGCAACACACAAGCACGGGGAAAAGCAAACCCCACAAGCTAGGCCATTCACTAATGTATGCATGATGCATGCCATCTAATGTTTGGGAGTATGTCCAGCAATGTGAACCTTAAAGGCCTATAAATTAGCAAGTCACGTAGAGTTTTGTAGCTAATGCAACACATCAATAAGATGGCAGAGGATATATATGAATGTGCAAAAACAAAGAAGCCATGCAAAATATCTAATAATACACTATAACTTCTCAAATCAAAGATTGAAGCCCAAAAATAAGCACCATTTACTAGCAAAATTCCATGAACCAAAGTTACGCAATCATAATCAGTTCTAGAAATTCACATCAAACACCATCAAAACCCTACCTTCTATTAGCAAAACCCAACAGACAGTTGCTAAAACTGAAAAGTTGACCCAAATTCTCACCAATTCAAAAAATGGTTACATCATTCTCTGAAAAGCACCAACTACCACCATAAAAAATATTTGGCAGCAACACTGTTTCACCCTCTCCTATTTCTTCTTGATTCTGGAGGAGTTGTTTGGTAAATTCGTTCACCCAATAGTTGCATTCTTCTGGTTGCAAGGCCATTATTGGTTCCATTTCGATTCCTTCTGTGATCAAGTTGCAGTTTTCTGGTTGCAAGGCTATTGGTTCCGGTTCGATTCCTTCTGTGATAAAGTCGCGGTCTTCTGATTGCAAGGCCATTGGTTCTGGTTCGATTCCTTCTTTGATCAAGTTGCAGTTTCCTGGTTGTATTACTATGACTTGGGGTTCAATTGATGCTGCTATGATCGTGTTGCAGGCCTCTGCTGCCACTTCCATTGCACCTTCTTTTTGTCGTTTAATTCAGAAAATGACATAATCTTTTACTTTTGCTCTTTTCAGATTAGTGCCGCCTTTCGGTCATGCTCCATCCACTCTTCTTAGGATCAGACTTGACATAATAAGTAAAATTTCTCTTCATTTCAATCACTGTTTCTTCTCCTTCTTCTTTATTTCCAGTAACACCATCTCTGATATTTTTAGCCTTGTCTTCGCCCTTCCAATTACTAATCCTCATCACACGACTAATCCTGAAGCCCTTTTCATGCTTCTTCTTCAACTTAGTGAAGAAATAAAGAATCTTCTCTTTGGATCCCTGGAAAAGCTCGGACGATTCTTTGCCGTAAAGGTCGAATACGTCATTGACAACACCCTGGCATGGCAATGGTGCTTCATTGGCCTTGCACGAAAGATAGTGAATCAACTCCTGGTCAGTGGGGTGAAACTTATAGCTGCATAGAATCTGGGTAATGGCAGAGGCTTCCATGTTTACGAATTTTCTTGAGTTTTCGTTGGAAACAAACGATCTCCTATGATCTTTCCTTTTGATGTGTGCAAATTTTTTTATAGAGAAAGCTGAAACAAGATTGTTGTTGATCCTTGACTGGTGGAGGGAACTCTATGCTATTCAGACTCCGCTTGCACAAACCAAGCCTAGATCCACACAATATCCAGTACCTGATCAAGAAAATCAAATCCAAGAAAATACTAGTGAGAACGGACCAACGAGGATGGTTCTGAAGCCATGGGACTCTTTCCTTCGCTCCCAATTCTCTGGTTACAACATATATACACACATACAGAGTCTATGTATATACACAGAGCAAAAAATAGAACCCTAGACCAAAAAATAACAAGATAATGAACAACAATTTCGACGGAATCAAATCATGTACCTTTAACTCAGTGGCACTCCATAGATAGTCAATCCGATCACAACATCTGCTTCTTAGTAGAGTCTTTCTCGCTCATATATATATATATATAAAGACGTATAAGAAAAGGGCTCCAGGATTAGTGGTGTGAAGAGGATTGGTAATTGGAAGGGCCAAGACAAGGCTAAAGATATCAAAGATGGTGTTACTGGTAATGAAGGAGAAGGAGAAGAAACAATGATTGGAATGAAGAGAAATTTTACTTATTATGTCGAGTCTGATCCTAAAAAGAGTGGATGGAGCATGACCGAGTACAATATTGGCATCACTAATCTAAAAAGTGAAAAGAGCAAAAGTAAAAGATTATGTAATTTCCCAAATTAAACGACAAAAAAGGGAAGTGGCAGCAGAGGCCTGCAACGCGATCATAAAAGCAACTATTGAACCACAAGTCATACTAATTTAAACAGAAAACTGCAACTTGATCAAAGAAGGAATCGAACCAGATCCAATGGCCTCAACTAGAAGACTGCAACTTTATACCAAAGGAATCGAACCGGAACCAATAGCCTTGCAACCAGAAAACTGCAACTTGATCACAGAAGGACTTGCAACAAGAAGAATGCAACTATTGGGTGAACGAATTTGCCAAACAACTCCATAAGTAAAATTTCACACGACTAATCCTGGAGCCCTTTTCATTGAAGAAATAAAGAATCTTCTCTTTGAATCCCTGAAAAAGCTCAGACGGCTCTTTGCCGTAAAGGTCAAATACATCATTGACAACACCCTGGCATGGCAACGGTGCTTCATTAGTCTTGCACGAAAGATAGTGAATCAACTCTGGGTCAGTGGGGTGAAACTTATAACCGCATAGGATCTTGGTAATGGCAGAGGCTTCCATGTTTAAGCTTTAGGAATTTTCTTAGTTTCTTTGGAAACAAACGATCTCTTATGATCTTTTCTTTTGATGTGTACAAATTTCTTTATACAGAGAGCCGAAACAAGATTGTTGATCCTTGATCGGTGGAGGGACCTCTTTGCTATTCAAACTCCGCTTGCACAAACCAAGCTTAGATCCACACCGTACCCAGTACCTGATCGAGAAAATCAAATCAAAGAAAATACTAGTGAGAACGGACCAACGGGGATAGTTCTGAAGCCACGGGACTCTTTCCTTCGCTCCCAATTACAACATATATACACACAAACAGAATCTATGTACATACACAGAGCAAAAAATAGAACCCTAGACCAAAAAATAACAACATAATGAACAGCAATTTTGACGGAATCAAATCATGTACCTTTAACTCAGTGGCACTCCATAGATATTCAATCCGATCACAGCATCTACTTATTGAATCGATCAACTCCATAAGATATATATATAGAGAGAGAGAGAGAAAGCGGTATAAGAGAAGGCTAACAACGCTTCTTAGTGGAGTCTTTCTCGCTCATAGCAGTGATCTCAATTTGAGAAAAGTGGAGCAAACCATGTCTTTTGGCCTAAACCGATTTTTCGCTAATAAGCAAAATTGGATCAGAACTCGAGTCTTCGTGGTGTCTTTTATAACGATCAAGATTTGTTCTCTGGTTCTCGTGCTTCACCAAGACTCAGGATGAAGAAAACGAATTAGTAGTTGCGGAGAAGCCTTCGCCTTCTAGCTTGGCCCGCTGCTTCTGACGCTTGATAATATAGGCCGATGCCCTGTCAACTCCAGGGTTTGCGAGTAGGTCTGCTGTAAGGTCGGTGAATAAGTCCAAAACGATTACAAATTAAGAAAAAAATGAGGGCGTTGAAATTTTATAGGTCAAGAATTCTCCACAGTGACTTGAGCAAGCAAATTACTCTCACCCCTTAGTTTTACATCTTTGATTTTATAATTTTGTTTTTTGAAGTAGACATGCAATTAATACATTGCCCCATTCTCACATTACTAAATTATTCTTTAAACATTAAATATGTATATTAATAAGTTGTAAGATTTTTGAAAAATTAGAAGAGTAATTATAGAAAGATGACATTTATTTTGTTTAACTTTTCAAAATGGACATTTAATTTGGAACACTCTAAAAGAAAAAAAGAAAAAAAAAATGAACTACTAATATGGAACAAATGGAGTGGGTATTAGAAAACTTACCACAAAGAAAATTACAATCTTTTATTATAAAACTTCTTTTATTTTTTTCATAATTCCATGCCTATAATTTACGGAGTATAATTTTATAGTTTTACCAATATATATTATATTACTATTTATTTATTTATAGAGATTTATATATATATATATATATATATATATATATATATATATTGGAAGAGACCAAGTGAGAAAGAGAGAGGGAGACACAAATAGAAACTCAAAATGAAACCAAAAAATATTTATATTTTGTAATTTGTTTGGTTCAAATTGTATCATCAAACCAATTGCATAATCTAATGGAAGCAAAACTTGGTGGATTGAAACATTCAATTCGGTAATTCATTCATATGTCTGTCAACGGGATCGATCAAATTCATATTCGATTCGTTAAGTTAACGGATTATCAAACTCGGGTCGCCAACGGGTTATCGGATTGAATATTTTAATCCATATCCTATTTAGCTCGAATTCGGATCGAATTGAATTTTGATTAAAATCATATTCAATAACATATATGTATATGTATAATTATGAGGTTAGATGTATAATTATGAGGTTAGATGGAGTGAGTTTAGTTAATATATAGGTTGGTGCATACCATAACTACATAATCAAATGAATATAAATCATGTTGGTCACTTTTATGTTCAGAATACATAATATAGAATGTTGATTTTCACATGGTGTAAGGACTTTAATAGTCATATAGGATTGTTTACACATCATAAAGTGAGAGTCAGTGGATTAAAAAAACCCTAATCAAAGATTACTGTTAGTTAGGTCTGAAGGCTGTCTCCAAGTCTCTTGAATGGTACAAATACATCCATTAGGTGCAAATTCCCAGAATTAAAGGTAGAAAGAATAGACATGATATTTGAATAATATTATAAATTGAATCCTTCTGAGTCAATTAGGATAATTGTATATCCCAGAGAAAGGACTTGTGTTTTCATCAATGCTTACTCACAAATTCATCCTCTCTCTCTCTCTCTCTCTCTCTCTCACACACACACACACACACTTTTGAATCCATAACATGCACTCATTTGTACATTCAACATTACAGTTTACCATCACCTAACCATTAAAATATCAAGCACAGTCAAAGTATCCATCTTACAATTATTTTCTCTGATTGGTTTTCCCACATATTAAAAAGAAAGGTAGCTGCATTTCAAAGGAAAATAAAATCAATATAAATTCATCAAATAGTTAGAATAGTTTCTTGTTAAAAAAGTTCACAAAGTCAAAAAGTGTGCTTATACTGCATTTTCCATTTTGAATCAACCTCAACTTTTTACATTAAGGCAGGGCTAAAGAGTACACATCACCACAACTCAAAAGACACATATGGAGGAAAATAATAAAAATGGAATGTTTCATTTTCACATTGCTTGTATATTTTCCATGTCACAGAAAACCAGTCATGATACCAACTCTCCACGAAGCCTACAACTCGGAATTCTCTTTGTACTATTTTTATTACAGAACCCCTAATCATAAATTTGTTCTTTGCCACGAGGGAAAGGAATTCGGAGGATGAAGTCTAGCAACTCTGAAACTGCTCGTTCTGCAACTTGAATCGCTTTCTTGTTATAAAAGAAAAAAATCCGGGGAGCATCCATCTGTTTCGGGATCCCCATGTTCCTCTACAATATCGCTACAACCAAAGAATTTGATGTCAAAACGAAGAACATAATTCACAGGTTCTGCAGATCCTCAATCGCCTTTTTCCATTGCAACGCTCTTTGCTTTGCATCCTCGAAGGCCAAAACTTTCTTTGGCTGTACCATTAACAAAAAATGGAATAAATATATAAATTTCAACTAGAGAGAAAAATAAATGCAGTGAAGGTCCAGTAACATTTCCTATTAATTTTTCCAGTAATTGCACAGGACTATTCAGGACATTTATCCAGAGCAGGCCTAAAAAGAAGTTACATTATGGGATATCATGACGATCTACATTTCTATGATCGAATCATCCCTACATTTCAGACATTTTCTAAACAGTCATCAACTACTGTTAACTGCGACGATTGGTGACTGCAACAACTGGGGAATAAAACTCACCGAGAGTATGTATGTTTCTCAGGAGAAGACACAACAGAACTTACCGTGCAAATCTTGAAATGTGAAGGGCTCATAACTTGGATGCTTAGGTCATTAGGGTTGTCGGACCAGATTATATTTCCTTTAACCACCAATTTTGAGGGGTTCACGTAAATCAACTTCGGCTTGTTGGTGAGAATAAGCTGAACCTTTTTGCTTGTTAGTTTCTGAATTTTCTTGACCATTGAGATCATAAGAATGGATTCCCCAGGGTCCAAAAATTGTTGCCTGTATGTGCCAAAACAAATTAGATATGCCATTTGATTAAAGGTAATGGTTCACAAAAGGTAGGCTGCAATGATGCATTAGATCCAATTTAGGTGGAGCGGAAAAATTAGTAAATGACTTCAAATCAATTTGAGCCCCATCACTCTAGAGCATGTTCTAACCATGGTTCTCCGTGTTGGATCAGTGGAAATCAAAATCACATGAGACTCTAGTCAGAATAACGATTTCTAATGTCATATGTTCTGTACTGTCAAAATGCCATGAAGCATAAAAGTAAACAAGTCACACACAAAAATACAAAGATTAACGTGGTTTGGCGTAAGCCTATGTCCACGGTGAAGACCCGGCAAAAGATTTCACTCTGAGAAAATAAGGAGATTACAAGTTTCAACCCCCAAACCCTAGCGCGCGCTCTCTCTCTCTTTCCTGCAATTTTCAATGTTCTCTTGTATCCCACTCCAAACCCTAAGCACCTTTATATACTTGGCTATAAGAGAGTCCTAAATAGGGTCCAAGATCTGCAAGAGAAAAACAGGTCAAAAGTTTTTTGGACTGAAACAAAATTCGGGCCACAACATCACATGTACTCTTTTTCTATCAGGAGAAAACGCAGAAACAAATATTTTACGGAAGTGCATGAATTTAAAACTAAAATGGAAAGTGCACTGAATATAAGGTAACGATTCACAAAAGGTAGGCTGCAATGTTGCATGAGATCCAATTTAAATAGAGTGGGAAATTTATTTCACCCATCCCATTGAGTTTGAACCCAGGAACTTGCCACCTCGGACTGGTTGGAGACAGAGAGTACAAAAAAGTCGGAACCAAATCAAGTTTGAGCCATCACTCTAAAGCATGTTCTAAGTCCATAATTCTCCATATCGACGGAGTCTCTGCATCGGCCAAGTCATAACGGACTCCGCTAAATCTGAGTTCGATACTCACTGATATATCAGTAGAAATCAGAATCACATGAGACAGTGAGTCCCTAGGGAATTGGTCGAGTCTCTTCTGAATCCTTGGGGATTTGGCCGAGTCAACACATCTGATAGCGTGCAAAGTATAAAGGTTCATGACTGCAAGAATCGATTCCATTACGTCATGCCCCACGTCCGTTACACAACGTCTGCATCCTCGAACCAACAATGACCACCTTATAGAGTTAACAACTAAAATAATCATGTCATGAGCCTTATATTCTATCTGATCAGGGACGCATTATACCCAGTTTCAATAATTATGGGTTTTTCCTACCTGACCCAAATTAGTAGGTTTAAATTACTCAGAGCAGTTTCTTTGTGCTTTCACGAGACGTGGTTTGTTGGTGAAAGTTGAGAGATGAAATGGGCCTTTCTATAGCCTTGGTTCGCTAATAGTGGATTCGATCTTTTCATAAGTTGTGGACGTACGCAACTTGCCAAACCACGAAAATCATATTTTCCTATTATTTTTATTTTCAAAAGTTGGTTTAGTTAAATTTATAACTTATTTCGGACCCATGGACATTGAAGACAAAATAATTGAAGATCAACTCTTAAACTACTAATTCATCAATTAGGGTTTTTATGTCATGCATTCACATCTTTACTCATGTTAGCAGGAGCGGACCTAGAAAATTATGTTTTTTTTTGGTTGGGTGGGTGGGGGGGAGCCTTTAACAACAACAAAATAAAGAATGTTGTGGGGGCAATAGTGAGGTTTTTTTTTTATAATTCGAGTGTGGGGCAGTTTTAAAATTTTATAGGTATTTAATACAACCAAAAAAAAAAAAAAAAAATATGTATATATTACCATTTTTATTGTTTTTAGTGGGGGCAATTGCCAATGAAGTAGGTCCGTGCCTGCATCTTAGGGCACAATCTATACATGTTTTGATTCATTATAAAGATGTTTTGAAAGTATAGTATTGCTTTCATATCAAAAGTTTTAACAAGAAAATTACTTGGAAGACGGTAAGCTCTAGTGAAGCTTTGATCTATTGGAATCACTCCAGTAAGTTTTGATTGATAAGTCAATCAATCAAACTTGGAAAGAATGCCGCTCGAGGGTCACTAGCGTCGATCTATTGGACAAGATATCAAGAACTGTTTTGGAATCTTGCAAAATCAGAATTTTAATTGGCTTTTTATATTCTTATTTTATACAGTCAGTTTAGGGTATGTTCTTGCACTATTTGGTCTTACTTACACTTTGGAGAGAAGCTTCAAAACTAAAAGGGTTTAAAGTCGAAATAAAACTGAATATATGGAGTGTAACTTTAGTAAATTTAAAAAGACAAATTAGTATATTGTGAGGATTCAAAATCAAGAGGTACAAAAAAGTGAACATTTTTGTTATGTAGGCTCACTATTCATAATGAGGGAGAAATTAGAGATAACGTTAACCATAAAATCAAGGCAGGATGGGTTAAATGGAGGAGTGCATCTAGTATATTGTGTGATAAGCGTGTCCTCTTACAATTGGAAGGGGAGTTCTATCGAACATCTATTAGACCAGCCATACTTTATGGTATCGAATGTTGGGCAGCTAGGAAACAACATTTGCATAAAGTGAGTGGCAGAAATGTGAAAGTTGAGATGGATGTGTTGTAAGACTAGAAAAGATAGAATTAGAAATGATCACATTCGGGAGATGGTTGGAGTAGCACCAATTGGAGATGAAATGAGAGAAATCGGTTAAGATGGTTGGACATGTGCAAGGAAGACCTCTAAGTGCGTTGGTTAGGAAAAATGACATAGTCCACATTGAGGGTAATACTAGGGGAAGAAGAAGATCAAAGTTAACATGAGTAGAGTTAGTAAAGAAAGATATGATAGCATGTGAACTGACTGAAGCCACCACATTAAATAGAGCAGGATGGAAATATAGGTATAGTTGACTTCATGTAATTGGAAAAAGGTTTGATGGTTGTTATTTTAGAGACTTTAATAGAGATCATATGGGCATATGGAGGAGGGAAGGGCACATAGAGTGCATATTTTTCTTTTCATCATCGAACATCTTGCCTTAGATGGTGAGTTACTATTTTTTTTTTTTTTTTTTTTTGATAAGTAGATGGTGGGTTACCATTCAATGTGCTGATCATCAACTTGTGGAGCCTCGATTGTAATCAACACCAAATCACACAAGAACTTATGGTTGGACGAATTGCTGAGGAGATCAATAACAGATTGCAAAGCGGATCTTGTGAGGAGTGGATTCGTTGATTGACAACATCAGAGCTCATAAGCAGTGAGTCTGGTTAGAAGTAACTAGGGGATTCTTGGGATTAGAATATGGTAACCTAGGGTAGTATTACTTTTCTTCTGATAATGGATTTGATTTGTCCTGACTATGTTTAGTGATTTTCTCCCATCAAGAGTTTTTCACATTAAAATAGTGTGTTATGAGTGTGATTGCGTAGTTATTTTATCTTACAGTCTATGGTTTAAATAATTTATATTGCTGCTTTTGAACTATAATTGCTAGAATTGATAAGTCAGTTATTATTAGTTAAAATTGTAGATATGTTCACCACCTCTAGATCTATTCTGGACATAGTATGTTCGGACGCAATAGAGCCTTCAGTAAGGATCCTCATCCTTCAATTTTCTTTTACTTTCATTGTTCATATGATGTTTATGTACGCCAGATCATGTCAAAAATCAACATATCACAACTCAGACTATTGTAATTTGAAGAATCTCAGTGAGGGCTTCTAAAAATAGGAGTGGGTCAAGTACAAGCACAGAAGTATGAAGTGCTTGATAATTACCATTTTGAATCAAAGGAATCAATGGAAGCAAGCCTAGTTATATGGCCAGCTTCAAAACATGATCCAGTGCCACCATTTCCATCATTTTGTCTTGCTGAACCATCCCCAATATGTGAATGGTTACATGAAGAATCCTGAGCATTACCACCCTCTTTCGACTGACCCTAAAAGAATTGAAACAAGTCATAATATTTGTATGAGCCATCTTGCTGAAAGCACAATGCTGCCACAAGAAGAAAAATTCCTTTGCAGAAAACAATTTAAAGAACTAAGAAACAGATACCTTTGGCTCCAAAGCAAGCCTAGGAGTGGGTAGTGCCCTTAAATTTGTCCAGTCAACACCCTTAAAGAAAGGATGCTCCTTGAGCGAAGCATAACCATCAGGCCCAGCACCTGGTCTTTTGCTGGGATTAGTATCCTGCATCATTGTAGCAGTGATATTGAAGGCAGAGTTAAATACTTCAATAATGAAACTCAATTCTAGAATTTAGAGCTGAGAAAATATTTATATGTAAGTTCATCAAATTCAGTAAAAAATTGACAGATGTAAAATATTTCAAAGGCCTACCACCTTGAGTATGCCTTAGGATATAGCTGAGCATGTGAGATGTTTTCAGATTTTCCAAACCTTAAGGAATCATAATAAGCAATGGAACCACACAAACATTTGTAACTTGAGCTTTGATGCGAAGACGCATTTGCAGCTCCAGAATTGACAGACCATTTCCTTGGAGGCATTTAGTGTCCTTATTAAAGAATGACTCTAATGATAATTTACATGATATTAATATTTTTACAACTATGTATCAACTTGAAATTGAAATCTAGAAACATTTGCTAACCAAAAACACTTGGATTGGGCAAAGACAACTATGATAATGATTGGTAAAAGTAACCAATCATGCTGATAAGAATGTTAGGCAATCAATTGGCAATGTATGGCAACATAGACTAAGATAGGCTTTTCCCTACAACATATACACACAAGAGCACGCGCACACACGCCCGCACACTCACAAATACTATACACACACATATGGTCCCGTGCTTTTCAATTTTTTTTTTTTTTTTTTCTTTTTTGAGAAAAGTGAAGCTTATAAAGGACATACAGATTTTCATACCACTACACCTATTCCAGGTGGTTGTAGAAATTTATGTGCGGCAAAGATGAACTTTAATGTTAATTTCTGAGTTGTTGTCATAGGAGCACACTACAGCAACCCTTCTGTCCAGAACATAGACCTCACATCCTTGACCTTGGTAGATGATAGGTGGCAGTGACTCTACTTAAATTTTTTTTTTTTTTCCCCCATAAGTGACTCTACCTTCACCTACAGAGATCTCATATCAAGGCACATCATTAAAAGAACTGAGCTATTAAAATAATATACCAAATATTTTGTCATAAATTACTTGGACTAATCGCCCACATTTTAGTATCCAATGCAAGTGCAGAATGATAGGTTATGCAGTACCTCATCCCTTACAGAACAGACAACAACACGTTCTTAAAACTCTGCTCATTAAAACCTCTTTTCAAACATGTCAGCGACAATGATCCCCATCTTAAGTGTGTCTAGTTAGTCCATCCATAACTAAAGCATAACCAACACAAAAATATATGATATATATTGTAAGATGCAATATATACAACACATATTTTTGATCCCCATTTTCCACGTTGACAAACCAAAAATGAATTATCATCCATTGTTAGTATGCTCTATGGTGAGGCCCATTTTTTATTTTTATTTTATCAACAATCAAGTATAACAGTGCCTTTCCTATGTCAAAATCTGTAACCAATCTAATGATAGTGAGAAATATATTTTAAATAAAAAATAATTAAGGGAAATATGAAGGTTAAGAAAGCATGCTCAAAGTGAAATGAAGTTTATCCGTAGATAAGTTTTTTACCAATAATCGGTCAATAAGATCTCTAGCTTCTTCAGAAAAAAAATTTGGAAATCTGATGTCTCTAGCAATAATCCTTTGGAAAATAAGCCATTCACTTGCATCTTTAAAGGGGGAAGTTCCTGAAAGCATCTGGTACAAGGTGCACCCAAGTGCCCAGAGGTCATTTCTGTTTGAATATATTCAAAGGAGTAAATAAGTTATCCTTCTAGCTACGATAAATGATTAAGAACCAAGCCAACCAACAAATATTCAAAGTTCTAAGAATATACAAATAATTATAGCAAGTTTAGGTTACATTCTAATTGACACTGGATCTATTTAATGTAATATCAAACTATTCCAAGATAAGACTCCCTTACCCAAAAGTTGCAGGAGAAGAATTTAAAACTTCTGGAGGGACATAAGCAGCTGTCCCCACAAAGGTGCAAGCCTTATCATCTGAACAGGATATATATAAGAACAATCAAAGTCATCACTCAATAATAATGGCAATGCATTCCTTATTGTAGTGTCAAGTGTGAAAAGTTTACCTGATGCTGCATTTGGAAGGATGGTGATACGGCTATCCAACAAAGGCTTTACGCTACCGAAGTCGGCAATTTTTATATGTCCTTCTGCAGTAAGAAGCAGGTTCTCTGGCTGCCATTCAAATAACTATTAGCATCTCCACATGCCAATAAATCAGTGCAATCATGTGGTGAAGTACCTTAATATCTCGATGTATCAATCCCAGACTATGTATATATTCAAGAGCATCTACAACTTCAGCAGCATAGAAGCGGGCTTCCTCCTCTGACAAACGACCTTTCTGCACCCAAAAGAATTTACTGGATGTTGGAAACTGTACAAAGACAAACAATGCAGACAAGAGGCAAGACACTCTAGAAGCACAACTAGAATTTTGAAGTTCAGGAATTACCTGACACTGGGAACAATAAGAACTGGGGATTCTAACTAGATAATACTTTCATACCTAGTTTGAAAAGTTCAAAGATGGCTATCTGTTGACTAGAAATTGCTGGTAGAAAAAAGAAGAATACGCTGTGAACTTAGATTTATTTGGAATATTTTTACAATTTTGTGAATTTTTTTATTAAATATACATAGTATTCACCGTAATATCGACAAAAGGAATACTGGATTACTTATACTTCAATTAAAAAGTTGCTTCATGGAATTGTTACAAGTTCTGAATGTTTTACATGGATACAGGAGAAATTTACTTACCCTGTTTATTTGATCAAAAAGTTCTCCACCATCACAGGACTCAAGTGCCATGTCTTCACAATAAAATCAAAGGGAACAATGTCAAATGATGTACACAATTGGGAAAAAATAGTCATACATAACAAAGGAAAAGAGCACAGGGTCTTATGTGAATATGGACAATTGACCAAAAATACCTACACAGGGAAAAATTATCTTGAAATGTAAAAAATAGCCGCACAATGCCAGGATGATCCAACTGATCAAGTACAATGCGCTCCAACTTCACGTAAGCAGTTTTATTTTCTTTGGTGATGAACTTTTTGTCCATAACCTTCAAGGCATATACAATTCCTGTGTCTATCTTCTTTGCTCTCACAACCTGGTAACATAATTGAGTGGATATTACTTGAATGTTACTAAAAAGAGGTAACAGATGCATCTGCAAATACAGACCTGAAGAAGCAAATAATGAGCTCTATATATATAAAAAATGCAATTAGTTCAGAAACCTAACAACAATCTAGAGAAGGAGTTCAAACAAGAACATTATGACAAGGCCATTCAAAATGTAGTAGCAATCACGAACCACCCACACCAACTCGCCCTCCACCAGAGAAAAAAGTAGAAAGGAGTCAAAGAATACATAACATGCATTAGGAAACTTTTGGTTCAAGAGACATAGATGACAGTGAAATAACAACTTTCTCCTTCACATCGTAGAAAGATTGTGTATACGTGTGAGCTTTTCATACAAAAAGGGAAGAATGCCAGAATATGTAAGTTGCTGAATCAAATGTGTTCTCAGTGAAACCGAGTCAATTTGAACAAGCACATTTGCTGCGACAGATCATATTAATCAAGCAAACCCAGTGACGGCAGATAACATAGTTTCCCATAAAATTCCAAACCAATGTTACCTGGAACATGCATCATCTTGAGATATGAAAATATGGTACGGTAGCATAGGGATTGTAAAGATTATAATGTTGAAAAAGGTTAAAGCATTTCTAAATACCAGAACATTTTATTTTTAGGAGTTATGATTAGTGATACATAATACAGTTATATGCACAAGATTTATTTTTACTTCCAATTTTTTTTTTTTTTTGTTTCCTTTCAATTACTTATGCATACAAGGAACTTATAATATCCTTACAAGCTAAACTATTGATGTGATATGGATTTTACTCAATAGTTTTCCCAAAAGGACACCATATTATGAAATGAATACAAGAAACAGAAAAATGCTTCATGAATCGCTTAGGTTTTAGAACTTCAGTGTACCAAGCTTTGGTGCATACTAGCTAAGTAATTCATGAAACATTTAAACGTGAAATGTTTTTTCTCAAAAATCACTTGTCTGACATTGAAGCAGTGTTGCACTTGCACCAGAATAATTTATGTATTCTCCATCTAAGAGTGGGAAAAATCTAGCAAACAACAGTATTCTTCCTGACATGGTTCCAAGTCGCTTATCATTTATTATAATTTAACCTCAAACCTCCACTGCACAGATTCAAAGCTTCCCAAAAACTAAAAGGTAAATCTTCTCAAGAACCTCCATCTGTTCGCCTCAAATTGTCTAGTGGTCAATTAAAGTTCATAGTGTTCCCTGAATTTCAGAAGGTTACACCTCCTCAAGAACCTCCACAAATTCTTCTCAAATAGTCTAGTGGTTAAGATCATAAATTTGTATCTTTATTTCAGTGCCTTTTTTGTGATACACTATGTGGAAGCAATATAATTGCTTTTGCAGAATCCCAAATTACTTCACATGCTAATCTAGTTCCAAATTAACCAAAAACATATGGCACCAATAAACAGAACAGAACTCTAAACAGAACAGAAGAGTCTTGGACTTAATACCCATTTAGGTTTGTCACCATTTTTTTCTTTTTGTCTTTTTCCCTAATAGATACTAAGATTTGTTACTTTTAGAGGTCCGAGGTCCAGCATTACACAAATCAGCTATATAATAACATTCTAAGCTGCCCTAATATAAATCTATGCCCAAAAATAATTAGTATGAAACAGAAAAATTCAAAACTAGCTTCAACATATGATGTTAAATTGTTAATAATCATTAAAATGACACACACCACTAATTAATAGCTCCCAAAATTACCAAATAACCAAATTGGAAGACACAAATAGAATAGAACATCATCACATCCAATCTTAATAAATCATCAAACCAGAACAAACCATTAATCTATAATGAGCAAAAATAAGATTAATAAAATCAAAATCAAAAGAGAATCACTATATACAGAATATAAATAATAAGAAGACCAGAGAGAGAGAGAGAGAGAGAGAAACCTAACCTTGGAATAAGAACCAACCCCATATACTTTGCCCAATTCAAAGTCATGGATGGTAAAATTCTCCTGTGGTGCCCTGAATGCAAAGCTCCTAGATCTCTGTACTTTCCCAAGATTGGATGAATCATTCTGAATCCTAAGCTTTGAATCAAAATCCTTCTCCATGTTAACTGCTCCTCCTCCTTCACCCCCAACCACTGCCAACATTTCTCCCTCTAGAATTCCCTAAAATTTTATAAATGTATATATATAGGTTTATATATATATATATATATATATATATATCACTCTCTATCTATCTTAAAAATAGCACCTTCTCACTCTAAAAATATTGGGAGAAGAGTTGAGTTATCACGGCCTCCAATGAAGAGGAAGGAAGACCGTTGAACAGAAGAAGAAGAAACCCATCAAACATCATATCAGATTCTCTTTATATATTCTCACTTTAGACCAAACATCATTTGAAAGAAACAGTAAAGCAAATGATTCCTTTCACATATATTACATTCCTCTCTCTCTCTATATATATACCCTCTGCAAACTTATCAGCTTTATTTCAAAACCCTAGAAACCAATGGAGGTGTGATCATTGAAGAGAAGGAAGCACATGGAATTCAATGATGAAGATCATTCTCTCTCTCTAAAAAAAATCTCTCTCTCTAAAAAGGAGGGGAAGAGAACGGTGTTAGGGCTGATGGTGCTGATACTGATTCTGCCTATGATTGGAAGAATTTCAAATTTTCCTTCAGAAATGGCCTCAATGCTCTGCCGTTGCATCTCTGACTGTAAAAAAAAAAAAAAAAAAAAAAATGTAGAGAGAGAAGGTAGATGGAGAGGTTTTTTTTTTTGGGCTTTTCATATAATAATCGCGAGAGTATGTAAAAGATACAATTTCGCTTTATAGGGTGGACACGTGTTTGTTTTGCCCTGCTTCTCTGGTTTCCTACTATGAGACCCGGAAAAAAAGAATGGACAAGTGTTTAGTTTATGAAGCGAGTGACTATAGATTTTAGTACTCCGGAGGGTGGAAGTGAATGTTATTGTTCTTCATTTGTTTTATTATTATAATAAAATTGGATATTACAAAGGTGGCGATTTTACCGAAATTATCAAAGCAAAACGTATCTCACAACCTAAAAAAAGGTATTGGGAATAACGTAGAATTATAATTTAAAAAAAATAAAAAAATTCAAGTAGATAGATAGAATAAAAAATAATAAAAGTACCGACTTAAGATTTTAGACAGGTAATTGAAAAAAAAAAAAAAAAAAAAAAAAAAAAAATTCTCACAAACACCCAATTAAAATTTCATGAGATAGTTTCAATATTTGTTTATAATGGTTTGAGTAGCATTATTATTTAATAAATATGTATAAAAAAAAAATTAAAAAAAAAAATTCTCTAAAATAAGTAGTCATCCTCACCCACATTCTATACATTGAGAAATGCTTTTAAAAGTGGGGGTTAAATTTTGCGTCCCATAAGACACCAGCTATAACTCTATAAGATAAGAGTAAATCATGAAAATTTTACACTTCTTTATTTTTCAAAAATTCATTCAAAACACCAAAAACATGTTATAAGGTACAACATAGTAGCTGCCAAAAAAGCCTTTATTGATTTTCAGGAGTTTCCTGAAATTTCTAAACAACAGACCGGTTTTGCTTTCTTCCTCCTGTCATCCTCCTTTTCCTTTGTCAAAGAAATAGTCTGGGATTTCTCAAGCTTAACTTTGATGCTGCATTTAATCCTCTCAAAAAGTTTTGTGGAGGTGGTTTGATTCTTAGAAACCATCTTGGTCATCCCATCAAAATTGCTTCAATTTTTCTTGAAAATGTCAGCGTTCCATCGCTTGCTGAAGGTCTGATTTTTCGTGAGCTACTGTTGCTTATCAATAGCGGGGGCTATCAAGATGTTGTTGTTGTTGAGGGGGACTGTCAATCTGTTATGAATATGAAGGTATTTATTGGATCTTTAACGGTTGTTTTTAATGATATAATGTCTCTTTTCAAGGTTTGTTTGGGATCATCTCTTGCGTGGGTTCCTCGTTAAGGAAATGTCGCTGCCCACTTGTTGAGTAAAAAAGCTCTCGTAGCCAAATGTAGTAATTTTGAGTAGAGCATTTGGCCTCGTGATTGTTAGATGCTCTTCTCCCTAAATGTATTATTTCTCCATCTGAATAACTTGATTTGATTTGTTTGTTCGTAAAATATATATATGTATATAAATCTCTCATTCTCCAAGCCTTCCACCTATGATTGTTGTATAAGCAGATCACTGCCAAAATCTTAGATTGAGAAGGATAAAATGCATATATGAGTAATTAATTGATGAAAGTGAAAGAGTTCTGTATAATGATGAAAGTGAAAGAGTTCTGTATAATTGATTTGATGACCGTGAGGACCAATTAAATAAACTATTATAGTTTTTATGCATTTATGTGATTGCATATTTTTTTACGTGATTTAGAAAAAACTATGTTACAAGATAAAAACTTAGTTAAATTTGATGAATTGATTAACACAAAATATTAAAGAAAAAAAAGTTTCTTCTATTTATTTATGTAGACTCCTATAGCCTATAAACTAGAATATGGAAAATAAGCATACAAATTAGAGAAGGGGAAATAAGCACACAAATCTATATGCATCATTTTTGGATTGACCACCAACATTATTCCAAAAAAACGTTAACCAAAATATGGATTATGTAACTAGTTTATTAAAGATTTAAGTTTGAAAGAAAAATTAGTAAACATGGTAGTAAAAATTAGTAAACTTGTTGACTGGTATGGAACAAATCAAACTTCTAACAATTTATAGGCCAAAAGACATTAACACCAACTCAACTCAACGGTCAAATATCTTCAAAGTTGAGTTTTAGAATGTTTAAAAAATAATAAAATATAATACTAGAAAAATTTAGAATATTATGTAACAGTCTACACAAAAGTAGAGAATTTTAAAATGTTTTGTCACGTAGACAGGGTGGAGCTGGTAGGGGCCACGGGTGGCCATCCCCCCAAATTTTAAAAAAAAAAAAAAATTAGTAGTCCCTTAAAATATTTATATTGTAAATAAACTTAATTTATAATTCCACAATTCATAATAAATTCTAATTTGGCCTCCCAAAATATTTTCAAAACATTTATTTATTGGCCCAAAAATAGAGAATAAAAATAAATTTAACTTATTACCCCTTTTAACTCATACAATATCAACTTGGAATCTTTTTGCCATACTTTTGAAAACTTAAATCTTGTGAAATAAAAATTTAAGTTCATTATTATTGCAATCCCTATACCAAAATAAATAAATAAATATGTTACTTCATTTGCATATAGACATGAATAATATTCATTAAATGAATTTAGGAGAGAAAAAGATGAAAATTATACCAATATCGCTCATGTCTAATAAAATAAATAAAATTTTCCTCCCGGAAAGAAAGTGAAGTGAAGAAAAATTAAGTATCCAAGTCAATTTGGTTAGCACTTGAAAAATTTTCAAGAAAATTATGTAAAATTATTATTTTATGGTTAAATAGTATGTAATTTACCATAAAAGAAAGGGCAATATTGTAAGTTCACAAAAAATTCTCAATAAATCAAAATTTTCAAGAAAAAATTATAAGAAAATTAGGTGGTTATGGAAAGTGATTTTTCTCGAAATTTTCCTTTACCTAACCAAACTCCTAAAATATTTAAATTTTTTATATTTCCTTTCGTTTCTTACTATTTAGTATTTCCATAAAAAAAAAAAAAATTAATTTCTTTCTTTTCTTACTATTTCCGTCTAACCAAATAAAGAAGCATAAAGATGGTGTTTACAAGAAAATTATTTAAAATTATATATAAATCTCTATCAATAAGTCTTGGGAGCATGGGAAGAAATAAAAACTAAAGTATTGTGAGAGTATGACAATGATGTCAATAACAATAATAATATTATATATGCTAATAAAGGTAGGGGATATTCGCACTCCACTTCTCTACACTTACACTACATTAGTAAAGGAAAAGACACTTCTATCTAGGGGATATTCGCACTCCACTTCTCTACACTTACACTACATTAGTAAAGGAAAAGACACTTCTATCTAGGGGATATTCGCACTCCACTTCTCTACACTTACACTACATTAGTAAAGGAAAAGACACTTCTATCCCTAGTTTTATAAATAAATATTTTTTTTGTAGAATACCATAATTACCCTTTTAGTTATAGAAAGATATTTTCCCCCCTCTCTGCCCATTAACATTTATATCTTCTTCATTCAATTTAGGCATTGTAAAATTATGTAGTATCAATTTCAGAAAGGAAAAAAAGAGAAAGAAAAAGAAGACTTGTAATAGCAACCTAAATGACAGAGAAAAAATAAGTTGCAGTTAATAAAATGCATATGTTATGTGAAAAAAGACAGATATTACACTCATTGTCATTGAATTGGAGTGGTGTGTCAACATCTCTTCTTTTTTCATTTTTCTCTCTTATTAGTGTCTTCCACACACGCACAACGGAGATACATATTTTTTTTTTTTCAATTTCTACTTCATATTCTCTTCTTTCCACATAGTCCACCTTATTTAAAGCATAAGTAATATGTTGTGGAAATTTTTTTTAAAAAAAAAAAATGGATACACAACTACAATTGAAGTAGGGATTGAACACAAGGGACTATAGGCTTGGATTGAACTTAACACTAATGAGTGTGACACCTTGTTCTTGGATTTCACCTTGCACACTTTTTCTTGGGATTCTAGTGAGGAAATATTTAAAAACAAAACCCTAATCGTAATGTGGATGTGTATTTGAGAGAAAAAAGAAAATTTTGCTTTACACGATATCTAAGGAAATTATATAATCTCTTTCAAAAATTTAATTAAAAATAATAAGGAAGGAAAAGAGAGCTTATGTTGTCTGCAAATTGGGTAGAGAGTGGCGAGAGAAAGGCTTATAATGGATTACTATTGGTTTTAGTCTCCTTAAGAGAGAGAAAAAAGAAAAAAAAAAAAAAAAAATGTAAGTAAGGAAGGTAAAAAAGGAAAGTTTATAAAGCAAATGTTAGTTAGGGTATAACGAAATAAGAGATGATGCATTAATTAGTTTAGGAGTTTTTTTTGTCATTTACTTTAAAGAAAAATGTAGTGTAAGTGTAGAATAGTGTAGTGCAAATAATGCCTAAAATAAAAAAATCTATAACTACTCATTATATAAATTATTAAAATACTTTTCTATTTTAGTCATAGTAATTGTGTTTTATTAAAACTTGTGAGATTTGTTTAGTTAGAATTATTTGTTAAAATTTTTAAATCTTTCATCAAGCTAATAATTATATATATATTTGTGAAATTAGAATCAACGTATTAAAAAAAAAAAAAAATCAAAAATTAAATTTTTGAAAATTTGAAACAATTACTAAAGAAAATTTGATTTTCTTTCTTATATTAGTTTTCCATATTAATTTTTTAGGTTGCACTTTTCTTTTGGATTATATATTTTTAATATATATATATATATATATATATATATATATTTATATTTATATAAAAAATTACATTACAAAATGAAACTAACCCACAGACCTCCCCTTAGAATGTTGAATCCAGAATGTTGCTTTTTTAAGGGATGAGGGTATTTAGGTAATTTTTTCTTTTTTTTTTTAAGATTTAAAATATATTGCACTGCACCTAAGGGTAATATGAAAAATTTAATTTATTTATTTCTTGACATCACCAAAATTCGTCATTGACTCGCGTTGATGTTATGGAAAGGAGGTTTGTGTAAATTAGTTTTATTTTTAAGAGAGATTTGTGTAATTTGTAAAGTTTTAAAGAAAGTTACTGTAATTATGGCAAATCATAGAAAAGGCATGTATATTTACCAATAAATAAATGAACTATTAAAGTTTTGCAAATTCCCCCTAACAAATTAACAATGCAAACAAAACCTCTAAACTATAAAACAATTACAAATTGGTCTATTGTCATTACATGTGATGTTAAATGATTGATTTATTCAGTAATTAAATCAAGTAATTTTGCTTAGCTTTCTTTGCAATTGAGTATCAACTATACCATGAAAAGTACTAATTTCCCTTGAACTATAATTTTCGCAATAAAAGTCTCATTCTTTCTCGTGTTTTGACAACCAAGTCCTGAATGTAAAAAATATAGATACCTTCCCACAAGACCTGCACATGATATATATATATATATACTATTCCATAGATGCCCTTTGACTATATATATATATATATATATATATATATATTTCTAAGTTCCATTCTCACCGAGGCTTCTACTTCAACTTGCTCTAGATCTCAACTGATTGACACAGTTGTATGGTGTTAGTGTTTGAGGTTCTTGTCTTTCATCGAATTTTAAGTGAGTCTGGGAAAGATTTTGCCCGATAGTTGTCTAGTTCCGAATAAATTAGGTGGTCCGATCACATTTGTAAGATCGGATGAAGAAAATGTTAGATATTCTTATCCCACCTGGAAGTAGATTAATAAGGCATCAAATTCAAGAATTGTGTTTTCATGATCCTGATAGTTCAGAGCTTTTTGCAAAACCCTCATAGTTTCAGGGAAGTTTGTTGCATTTTGATGGGAATTTTTTATTTTATTTTTCATTCCATGAGGGCACTTAAGTATTATTAACTGACTAACAAGTGGATGCATTTTATTCGAAAAAAAAAAAAAAAAAATCCCTCCATAATGTGGTTTCTCTAATCTTGTTTCTGTTCCAATATTTCAAACTACAAAGGGTGAAAAGCACAATTTTCAATTTCAGCCAAACCAATACACAGTTCACTGACCAAAGCTATTGACACCAAAAAGTCCCCCAAAGCAAATTTGGCAGCAGGAGAAAAGAAAAGTAAAAATTTACAGAGTATTGCCAAAAAATTTTACTAAGAGAAGAGAATCAAGAACATTTAAGAGTGACCCGCTCTAAGACTTCTTTGCTTTCCACTATACATCCCAACCATCTCTCCGACCGTTGAATTCTGATTTCCGGTCTGCCAAACTTCCATATATCTCAGAAAATTTCATGAGGCAATTACTTCTGATCTGGTAATGTACATCTGTGTTCCGACTAATCGCTACACCAGAAAACTTTGATGTGTCGATTGCCCATGCTGGTTTCACATATTCAACTGTCTCAGAAGAGCTTGCATTTGCATACAAATAGTTCAACAGCACATCCTCACAGTTAAAGTCCCTGTCCACCACTTCCCTCCCCACCTTAGCCTTTTCACTCCAATACCTCTCGAATGCCATCTTGCTGTCGATAAAAGCTGCTCCGGTGAGAATCATATTATACCCTTTATGGCAGCGGGCATGTTTCTCCCCTCTATATTTCAACGGGCTACCATCAATGAGTCGGGGGTAGAATCCCACAATACGATCAGGGTGCTCCCTCCAGACCCTAAATCCTCGTTCAATATCATCACAAGTCATCATAATATCATCATCCAGCTCAAGAACAGCTCGGGTCTCTATCAAATCATCCATCTTGAAGCGATTGTTAAGGGAGTTCTTTTCCTCTACTCTGATCCTTATTGGCACTGTGGAGTCCAAGTCACTTAATTTAGGAGGTTCTCCTTTGTTCCATACCACAACAATCTCACGCACTGAAGAACACCTCGAGTAATGCTTCACATACATTTTCAAATTCCACAGCCGAGCATCATAGGTCATTGTTAACATTGTGAACTGGGAGTAGTGACCATTCAATCGGTAAGGTTCTTGTCCACCGTTGCCTCCAAAAATATATCTAACCCCAGTGCACATCAGTGCCACCCCAACAATAAATATGAGTGTGAGAGCCGACTTCCCGGCACAGGTGTTTGGTTTTATCCTGCCACGGAGAAGCAAACTCACTCTGTTCAAGCGACTGCAGAACTGTCTGACTCTGGAAGATGAGTTTGACCTCTCCCAAGCCAAGAAAGCATCACTTCTCTTTCCCATGTTGTGAGGGCACCAGCTCAGGGGTACGATGCACCTCACAGGTCCAAGAAGCATTCCTACTAGTGTGACAAGTGCAGCAACAGCTAAAATTGAAGCACAGCCAAGAATAAACCGGCGAACTATGTCTCCAGACGGAACCCTGTCTCCGTCCATAACTGCAATCCATTCTCCAGAGCTTAGCTGTTGCACATCAAGGTGATGGTAGCGGGCGCCATTCCAAGCATTCGGACCCTTGTTAGGCTCTTCTAATCCCAAGGGAACTTCAACTTCTTTGAATTCATTAGTGGTAAGAACCTCCACTTTGAAGACACGTACTCGCCGCCCATATGTCTCGCCAGAGTCTTGACCCGTGCGGTATAAGTTTCCATTGTGTTTAAATGGTCTGCCTCCATTCCGAGCCCCCATGCTCTTGTCTGTGTTATAGATTGGATTCTTCTTATGTGATTTCCACGGACCAAGTGGTGAGTTACTGTACCATATCTCAAGCTGTCCATTCTTTTTTGTGCCAATACCACTATGATCCGAACCAAACAGCCAGTATCTTCCATCATGATTAACAATGAACGAATCAACAAGGGGCTTTTTCATGATGATCTTGTCCAGTTTCCATTGCAAAGGAAATTTTTCTGCACGATAAAGACGTAGATCCCCCTTTGCACTGCCCTCGGGCATCATGTATATCTGTAGGACATCAATAAATTAAAGGGAAAAAATGTGAGTTATATAAACAAGAAATGAAATTAACGAAATCTCTAGTGTCTGGGCTTCATTCAGTGTAGTCACTAAGCACTAAACTTGGTGAGTGTCAAATGGATTGCATTACAGGGTCCAACATGGAATTGACCCAAACAGGAAGATTTTATGGCACAATGATCAATAAAAATGAATGATCCAGGGACAACTGACTTTTAAATTACTTCAAGAGCTTCTAAGTACTTCCAACATTTTAATTTGGGGGTGTAATCAGTGCTCATAGCCATCTAATCACAGTGATTTTTTAAGTCTGTCATTTGTTATCGATAGGACCCACTCTCCGGGCAATCCAGAGATCAGCTTGCATACCATGTGTAGATAATAAAATCACCAAGGTGCATAGAGAGGTCATGGACTACAAGACTTCCTGTTTTACACACACACACACACACACACACGCATACAAATACATGCATTCTTCTTTAGCAAATTATGATCTTACTTGGCCATTGTAGTCGAAGACATATGGGTAAGAGAGATGCCAGTCTTCATCCAATGCAATACCCAACTGTTGCCATGTTGCTCCCTTATCAGTACTTCTTGCAACTCCAATATCTCCTTGCATGGTGATGGAATTCTTTGTTTCGTAAAATAGGTAAAGGACATCACCCTGTATTGTAAAGCTAGTATTATTGAGTAATGCATATCATTGTTTACAAAAGAACACATACAAGCGGTTTAATTTATAATACCAAGTCAAAAAGAGTAACAGAGTAATTTAAGAACCTCTACTCGGCAGAATATTCAATAAATATTATTCGAAATTGAGTATAGCATAGGCAGGATAAATTAAAAACCAACTGGCAACACCTAATTAAATGTTGAAAACTTGGTAACAACAAGCATCTGTCTCATTTTTGGAGGCTATAAATGTAAGTATATGAAAAGACAATATCATCCTCAAAACCTAAAATAACCTCCAATTTGCCTACTATGCCCCTCAAATGACCAATCTACCCCCAAAATTTTTCCCTTACAGTTAGATATACTCCCTCTCTATGCCTCCATCAATCATCTCTCATAAATTACCTTCACTCTATCTCTAAAAGCTCAACTATTATCTACCTATACTCTCTGCAGTTCTAAGCCTCCAAAGCCAGCCAATAAAAGAAGAGAAATGAAAGAAGAAAAAATAAAATTAAAGACCTACTTTGTTCACAAATTTTAAGATAAGTCATCTCCCTAGCCTAATTTACATTTCAAGCAATTTTATACCCCTCTCTCTCTCTCTCTCACACACACACACACACGCACACTTTTTTCATTTAAGCCCTTATAAGTGTGCGCAATCTCCCTCTCCAAATCCAAATGTAATCAAAGCAGAAGAAAACAACCGCCAAAGAAAAACGATTACTTTACTCTCATTAGGCTTAGAACCCTTGTTTTAAAAAAATAAAGGTAAGAAAATGATTTTTCTAATAGGTGTAGTGCTTTAATTTTCCATATGTTTTCTTATTGTTACTATCACTTGTAAATGAAATAAATTTTTCCACACTGAGTTCCAAGTTAGGAATATTTGACATTTTTCTCCATCTCCATGTTTTTTATATTGGGAAATCACACCATTTGCTTTTGGAAAGATACATGGACCTTTGTTAGAGTTCATAAGAATCTGTTTTATAGATGATGTTGTAATTTTTGAGTGTAACAATTTGGAAAAAATGAAGGCAAACTAGTGGTTTCTATATGAAAGGAAAAATCTACTGCACAACTGTTAGGCTAGCTGTCTTATACGAAACTGGAGATAAATGTATTAGTGTGCAACTTATCACTCCTATGAACTCAATATTCATTGATTGCCCCAATCCCATACCCACCTAATTAACACTCAAAACTAGAATCCATGGAGCTCCTTCTCTCACTCACAGCAACTACCATTGTTATCCATATCAATAATTTTACTAAGAGAAGCACTGGACAGAACAGAGCTCCTCCGGAAGCTGCCAAATGTGTGGACTACTATCAGTCACCTCCACATCTTAAGAGGCTCTCAGTCATATCATATAACCTTGGGTTCTATGGCAGACAAGTATGGTCCAATCTTCACATAAAGCTTGGGGTACATCAAGCTTTGATGATGAGTGATTGGGAGGTAGCCAAAGAATTACCACCAATGACAAGGCTTTTACCAACAGTCCAAAGTCTCTAGGAGTGGAGCACATGGGCTACAATTATGGCATTTTTAGTTTGGCTCCTTACGGCCCCCACCAGAAACAAGTTCGAAACATAGTCATGCTCGAGCTACTTTTAAACCGCTGGGTTGATATGCTTGCAAATATCCAAGTATCCGAGGTAAGAACATCCATAAGAGAGGTATATGACTTATGGGTAAAGAAGATAAGTGCTTCAAATGCAATAAAATTGGAGATGAGGTGATGACTTGATGATTTAACCCTATATGTGTTAGGTTGCTTGTAGGGAAGCAATATCCACGTGACGAGGAGGAGACTGATTGTTTTGATTGCTGTTGTTGTTGTTGTTGTTGTTGTTGTTGTTGTTCACCCTGCTTTGATTACTATTGGTTCGAGTGTCATGAAATTTGATGTTGCTCCAGTAGTATCTATTTTCAGCGTCCTCATACGTTGACAGCAATAGAACCTAGAATGTGAAGTTTTATCACAATAACAGTGTAAAGTAGGAGGCTGAAAGTTTCTTTGAGTATGAACAACCTTATTCTTGTTGTTCTTATGAAGGTTTTGAGGAATCCTAGCTTGCTTATTATCATTCTTTGGAGGAGAAACAGAATTTTGTTTTGTTTTGGGCGAAGCAAAGAAATCATGAGTTCCTAACTTGTCTAAGTAAAATTTAACTTAAATACATGGGTTTCTTTAAATCTTATATATTGGAGAAGCAAAGAAACAATAGTGGTGTTTAAAGGGTCAAGGTATTGTCTGGATGAGAAGTCTTCATCCACACTATCACCACAATTTCAGATGTGTGTGTGTGTGTGTGTGTCCATTTTATAAAACAAAATTATTAATAAAAATACAGACCTCATTCAAAGCATATGTTTACTTGGTATGACAAAAACATCTAATAGTGCAACTCATTTTGACTGTCCCCTCTTAGCTGATTATTATTCAATTATTTCTTTAATTTTTTAAAAATAAATGATGGTCCAAAAGTCCCTAAAATAATTTAGAAAGAAAATGCAAGGCATCTGGCAGCCCTGTTGCTTACCAATTAACATCCCTCCCAATCATTGAACATAAACCCTTTTCTCCAATGCTTTTGTCGTTTAATTTTAAGCAACTTTAGTCTGTAAAAGTTGATGTTGCAGCATACCGCCAATAAGAAGTCTGACAACTTATAATGCCCCTCCTTCCAAGAAGGAAATGTTATTTTATGACCTTCTACCATGCAATGCCAAAGTTCAAGTGACTTTTAAGGACAAATCACCAAGCATTCTAGAACAACCCAAGACGAAATCCCAACTCACACTCTAGATAAATAGCAATTAGCAAGCTAATTCTAGTTAACCACCTTTCGATCTCCAAGATCACATCCAAATAAAATATATCTAACCCCATGAAATTAGAAGTGGAAAACAGCACAAACACAAGAATAACACCTGAAAAACTAAAGCGATTCAATATTAGAAGGCACAATTTATACGATAAACGACCTTATGCAAAACTCTTTTCCTATCAAGGAAACATATTGTACCCAACTACAAAGACAAAAGAATAAAAGAAAGTCAAACTGATATTTATGGCTTGCATATAAATATATGTTAGTGCAAAAAGGGTCCCCACCATTATGTTGCATCATATGACTTGATTTTCCATGTAAAAATGCAGATCCATCAGAAGAAAGTCCACTTGGGCTTGGGCCTTTAAGGCAAAATATATAGTAAAACTCAGTCTCTTAAGGTTGAGTAAAAAACCAAGAGATGTGTTTGGAACAAGAGTTTGCCTACAAGAAGAGTGTAGTTCTTATAAAGGGTTCTTGGATTGAAGAAAGGACACAAGTGGCTACCTCTCCTTTTGTACTGCTCTCCAAACGGGGTCTTATATTTTTTGGGTTGAGGTTTCAAAGGATGTCCTCAAATTTAGTTTTGAAAGTTTTTACAAATTTTGGTGGGTTGTAAGAGTGGGTTTTTCTCCATTGTGATGTAACACTTGTATTTTGTTCATTTCCCTTGTTGTGTAACATCAAGTTATAACTTGAAAGACCTCTCATACTCTTATCTGTTGTGCCTGATGGTTTTTCCTATCTTTGGAAAAGTTGTCATTGTTAAACTTGGTATCTTGAGTGTTTAAGTTCGTTGTTACTTGTTAGTAATTGTTTCCTTGCGTTTTCGAATTGGATTATACTTCATCTATTGCTTGTTTGTATAGAGGAAAAATTACTTCCCGATACATTGAACTCTCAATACTCAAAAACAAAATATGACAGAACCTATTCACTGTTGGACTGTTGGGTCCAGCAGTTTCAATTACCTGCAAATGTCCAAGAACAGTGGTGAAGCCACGGAACACGAATTTTCCTTTATTTGTACTTTTTACGCACAAATTTCTACAATTATAAAAGAGCCCCCATTGAACTCCTAAAATATACACAAAAGACCTTAAGAAAAAAATTCCGAAATTCAAAAGGACCCTTCATTTTCTAACTCAATTGCCCAACAAGATTTTCAAAATTCAGAAAAGACCGATGTCTTTTCTCCTCCAAAGAGGTTCCGCAAAATTTTTAAGAATCAAAATTCAGAAAAGACCCACCTTTGCTATTTATTATTTTGGTTCAAAATTTCCTATCATATTATTGTTGTTAATGGATGCCCCATCTGAACTACGTTCCAGCTCCACCACTGTACAAGAACTAAACTGTGTAGGAAGGACTAGCATGTGTGGATGTTGGAGTACCCCAATTGAATGTTTTACCAAACTTGACTTACACTCGGTTCATTTTGGTTATGGAGGAAGATATTTCGTAGCATTATCGTCATTCCATCATAAGCATTCAGAGGTTTCACACAATAAGGTTGCATCTACCTCATAAAAAACCAGCAACTTTTCTCCCATCTAATGATTATTATTTAGAAGACCAGCCGAATTTCACATTATATTACTACCACTCTCTTTTAAGTGCTCTTTAGAGTACTTTAGAGGAATTGTACACAACATTTGAAAGATTGGATTTTTAATTGCACAAGGGTGTAAAATGTCACAAAGGAAAAGCAAGGCTATGAATAGTCAAGCCAATAATTCAATTAGAATGAGCAAGACAACCTAAACAAGTGTTAAATAGTGGAGCCTACAAATCACTAAAACATTCGACAGAGAGTGACCTCCTCCTTGCCTAAAACCACGCGCTCTAAATCTATGGATTGTCTTTCTCCCCCTCTATGCTTTACTTCTATACAACAAGGTTTATAATTATTAATTTTCCCAATCCTATTAACTAAGTTAAAAAAGCAACATAGACCATTTCTAAGAAGCTGAAAAGGGTCAATTGCTTTAGCGACCAACAATATTCCAAATCAATCAGTTCCAAAACAAAAGTTTTAATACTGACAGCGACAATTTCAACTACAGGGATCGGCTACATGAATTATATGTTAACTTTTCGCTCTACTAAAGACAATAGACTCGGTCAATGCACATGTCCCCGTGTAAACACGGATAAGTGTGTGTATAATTTCAATGGAATTTTTCTTTTATAGAGTTGAAAATACATATATGAATATATGATTGAACAAATAAACAGATAAATTGAGAAAGAAAAACAGAGAAATTTCGAAAAATTCCAGTGCTATGGTGGTTACCTGAACATAAAGAAAAGGGTCAGCAACAAAATTACTAGGGAAACCAGCATCAGAGACTGACTCACATGTGAAAACAGGGTTGGCCACAGGCCAAGCAGAACTCTTATCTCTCCATATATTCACCTGTCAAAAACCACCAAAAATCAAAAAACAGAACCAACAAATATACACAAAAATACCCAAAATCCCAAAACCAGAAACAAAAAAAATAAAAATTCAAGAAAATAAGAAAAGAAAAGAAAAAAAAAAAAAACACACACACAAAAATTGATATGTGTACACATGTTCAAAAGCCTTACTTTTTCAATGGGTTTGAGGGAAAAGGGCGAGTCACCGTAGAAAACACCGATCGACCATGAACCCTCATTGTCCGGTTGACAGCCGAACGAAGAGAGAGTATTGTGGACATCTGGGGTGAACATTAGCCAAGCATAGAGGGTCCCAATCGAACCCAACAACACTAACGACGTGAGAAAGAAGGCCAAGGTCGAAGAGAGGACGCAATAATGGTCGTATCGCCACCAGCACTTGAGGCTCGTGTGCCACCCGCCGCAGCCGCCGCCGCTTGTGCTCGGCAAAATTGGGCCTGAACCCATTTCGTAAAACGGTCGCCGGAGGGTAGGGGAGTCGCCGCCGGTGAGATCTCACCGTGGATTTGCATGCAAGGGGAGAGAAAGTTGAACTGAACCCAGCATTCTATACAGAGATATATATATGTATATGTGTGTGTAGAATTTGATATTTGAAATGAGGGAGGTGTGAGACCGCGTTTGTTCTGTGTTTCGGTTTCTCTCTCTCTAGCTTCTCTCTCTATACTGGAACTCAAAAGGTGACACAGGTCGTGACTCAGGGAGAACGTAACCTCGTATGTGTTTTGTTTTTGTGTTTGTGTATATATATATATATATTGCATCGGAATGTTGTGTAAATAAATTCGGGAATATATAATAAACAGGGAGGTCATATTCGGAGGGCCAAACATGAGGCTTTAGTAACCTATTCAACTTTTAATTAAGGATGTCCAATTGACTCAATTTAAGCTCGTTCTGTCCCACTGTTCTAATCCGTTTTGGATTGCTTCTATATTTTATAAGTATTTTTATTTTGAAAATTTACGTTTCTAGTAGAAGTTTAATGTTCTATGTATTTTTTTTTAAGTTGTTATTATCGAATATGGTAATATTTTATTAAAAAATATTATTGTAAAATTAATAATACGCACTTTTTTAACGACTCTAGTGGTAAAAACGCTTTTTTTATTCCAACAACAATTTCAAACAGACTTTATCATAGTTGAGTTTGAGAAGAAGGTTTAATGAGGCAAAGTTATGAATTCGCACTGAATAATAATTAATATATAAATAAATATTCTTTTATTAGTTACAATTTTTTTTTCTTTTTTATTTCTTATTATAATTTAAATTATAATAATATTTATGTTATTACGATGATTAAATATGATTATACTAAAAACTCCAAAAAATATTTTTGTTATTAGGATGATTCAACCTAACTCTGCCATTTATCTTATACATTTTGAATTGAAAAAAGCTTAGACCAGTATACTTTTTGGAGTTTTAATGTTACTGTATTTCAACTGTAAATAGAAATAGAAAAATGGTTTAAAATAAAAAATATATAAATAAAATAAAATAAAATAAAAAAAACCATGATGGGAAATATGATCAATGGACAGTTATGATACGAATGTTTTTATTGATTACTTACTTTTTTTCTTTTTTCTTTTTTTTTTTTATCAGTTAATAACATTAAAATTCCAAAAAACTGTTTTGGGTTCAGCTCACTTGCAGAGGTAGTGAGTGAATTACACTCGCTTCATATATTGAACAACTGTCACAAATAAATAAACATGACATTGACAGTTGGCTGTTGTATTTCACACATACATGGACAGCGTGTACAAACGACAATTACTTCAATCTAGGTTGCAGATTCAAAAATAAGAAGTTCATTGACCGTAACGGAAACTCTAAATACACCGAAATCGGTTCCAGCCTATAGGCAGGGGACCCCACATGATGCTAGTGTATTTCCGATAAAGCCGCTTCTAACCGCTAACCGAAGGGCTAAATGGTCCAGACTATTGGAATTACTCACTTTGAAAATTATTTTCTTTATGTGAATAACCGAAGAATGTAAACCTAAAAAATATTCATGATCTAATATGTATTTAGTTTAATTTTTTAAAAATATTTTTTAATAATTTTAAAATTTTAAAAATATCACTAATTCTCAATAGTATGAAAAGAAAAGTTGAGAGGTGAAACTCCGACAAGACATGAAATTATACAAGGTTTGAACTCATCATTTTGAAAATAATTTTAAAAAACTGTCAAATCATATTATTTTTTAAATTACGTTTTGTTTTCTATTCATTTTAAAATTAATCTCAGCAAACCTCTTGATATTTATCATTTATTTTAAATTAAATAGATATTTGTCAACAAACATTTATTATTGTCTTAAAATCAGGACATAAAAACATTAAGATTTGCAAGGTTTCCAGCTCACACAATTGCAGAGTAGTGTTACATTTTTATAAAAAAAGAGAGTAAAATGAGGGCTTGATTGGGTATGAGTAATGCAGACAATAAATGAGGGCTATTGATTAATATGGATGGTGATGTGATCCTAATCTTCTAGTATTGGTTAAGTGCATTTGTTGAGTTGAGATTGACAATTCACTCACAAAGTTGTATCTCGAAATACACAAATTTTATTGGGGGAATAAAATCGATCTTATATTAAAGTCTATGATTTAGGTGGTTTTTTTTTTTTCTAGTTATGAATAGAGTATAGAACCAATGGGCGATGCTTAGTTACAATTTATAATATGTTATTATATGTTTGTATTAGTTTTTGTTGTTTATGATGTTGAAATGGTTTTTCTTTATCCATGGGCAACAAATTTCGATGTATTAGATGTATTCGTATTTATAGAAGCTTTAATTTTCGTGCTTATCTTAATTGTTGGTTCAATTTATGCATGCGAAAGGGGGCATTGGAATACTCTTAGATCTTGAATATTCAGACAATAAAATAAAAAAAATACTTTCCCTTACTTGATCGAACAACCCAAACATCCAATTGTTTTTTTTTTTTTTTTTTTTTTTGCAAAACAAAAATCGAAGGGTTTTAGGTTTTTCAACAACGTTGTGAAAATTCTTTGTCAAAAATGGAAAATAAATAAATAATAAATAAATCTAACGATATGTTTTAACACTGAATAGCGCATTAGATTTGAGATTGAAGATAATTTAGTATATATTTTGAACTAATTTTATTCTAATTTAAAATCCGAAACACTGATTCAGTATTCCCAAAAATAACATTAATGTAAAATTTCGTCAACACTGATCTACACTATCGAGACATTCCTAATCACAAAATTAAATGGTAGCGGCATATTTTTTTTATTGTTATTGAACATGATTTTGTTGGGAATAGGTAGTAACTAGTTCAGGTTTGAAAATTAATAATAGTCCTAATTGAATATTATGGGGGAGGGGGAGAACTTGTTTGAGGATGGCATTATAGTTTGAATGAGGTTTTAACTAGACAAATCCAACTTGTTCTGAACTTTGACTTTCTTTCCTTTTTTTTTTTTTTCTTTTTTAAATAGTTTGTGCCTAGCTAGCTAGTGAATGAACATGTTGATTTTTCTTTTTTCTTTTTCTAAAGCTAGTCCAATTAAAATTTGGAGTGTTTGGGCATGAACATTGAATCTCCCTTTTTTTATTGTTGTTTTTTTGGTTTGGACATAAATATATAATAGGTTTACTTAGGTTCCAAGCAAGAAAAAAGACCATTTCCTCCACCTAATCCACTACATTAAGTATTTGTGAGGTTGTGAGATAATCAAATATTTAATATACATACATACATACATACATACATACATATATATGTATGTATGTATGTATGTATGTATGTATAGGTGTGGCTTTCTTCTTCAACATTTATAGCAATGCTTAGTTGTATCATTGAGGTATATATCAACTTTGAATATAATGATGCATTTGTTTACATTAGCAAGGAATTGAAATTTGTTTCAAATTCATAATAAAGATTAAGAAAAAAATCACATATTTTATTGATGTCATGTTTTGAAAATTCCAAGTAAATCCTTATGACTTTTTTTTTCTAGAACCTTGAGCAATTGGAAGAAGATGATGATAAGGTGAGAACTATGACTATGAGCTAAGCAATGAAAATTTGAAAGTACAACTTTTTATGGAAACTTCTAAACCTATAGTAGTAGTAGTCTCTTCTTGTTTTCTTTATGGGCACAAGGATTTGGGGGCAGCCAAGCAGGACAACATTAAATTTTTATTGGATTTAGGCAATGATCATCCGATGGCGGTGGCAACTGGAACAATATCAACAAATGGTGGGACCTACTCATCTCCAATTTCAATTGTGTGTTTACCGTTTACATGTAACCCATGCAGCACCTAGTTAAGTGGAATCTTTTGCCCTTATCGATTTGGGCGCCTTTTTACTCCTCTCACTTCTGTTTCTATCTTGTTACCTCTTTATGTGGTGGCTTAGGATTGATAATTATAACCCTCCTTATTGAGTTTGTCATTTTTATTTAGATAATAAAAATTGCTTATGCAGTCACTTCTTTTCTCTTAATTCCAATGTCATTTTTTAACATGTGTCGAATTAGAGATATTAATTTCACCCATCCATTATGTCTCGTCTCGTCTCGTTCCCTGTCCCTTATTCTGACAGATTTAGAATCATCCTTCTAAGAACGAATTTGACAACAAATTTAAAATTCTTTAAGTATCGAACCAATGCCAATTTATAATAATAAATATATAAATAAATATTCTTTTATTAACTAAACAAAGGATGTTAAGATTAAGAAAAATATTCTTGTTCTGCTTTTGAACCAAACATCACTTCTCTAATACAAATTATCCTTTCATTTCTCCTCATTCCCATATGGGCTGGTTGTTTACAAACACACATTTGACTTTTAACATGGTTTGTTGCAAGCAATTAATAAGAATAAAGCATATCATGTGCCAATTAATATTTAATCTTACCATTTAAAGCAGCTAAACTACAGCTACTCATTTATCTTTCATTTCAAAAGGAGTAACTTGGAAAAGTACCTACTATACCTACAGAATATCATGTATCAATAACCTAGGCTTAATAGGCAAAGTATTTTTCTTTATAAAATTAGAAAACAAACTACCATGTAATTAGTTGGTACTTTGTTTTAATGACAAACAAATTAAATCAAAGTTGGAAAATTGCTACGAATGCTTGTCCCTTTTAGTACTTCTCTTCTACACACTCAATTTATTTATTTATTTATTTTTTTAATATAAATAGGGTATGCATTTAATGCATAGTTGGACCAAAATTAAGGCAATTTTTACGTATTAAAGAGTCACAATTATATTTCTATATATTTTTAAAGATCCATAAATATATATAACGTTGAAAGGTCAAGCAAACACATACTCTATACTTTCAAAGAGATTTGAACACCCAAACATTTCTTTTGAGAAAGAGGGCTTGTAATATATTTGGTATTAAGCTTTGCTCTTGTACCCAACCTCATAAAATTGGTACTAGGGTCATGAAAATGCACGCTCCATCCCTCCACCGAGACTCAACACTCAATTTTCCTTTTGAGAAAGAGCATCTTATTCATTTGGTATTTTTAAGAGTTTTGCGCCTGTGCCCAACCTCATAAAATTGGTATTAGGGCCATGACAGATGAAAGTGAAATTATTGTACCAAACTAGGAAGATGCTTTGGACAGGCTAAATTTGTAGGAGTAATTTACAGTTCATTGGGAACTTGAGGACATCAAAAGTATGAAACTTCCAAAATTTCACTAGCTAGCATTGCATGTGAGGACAAGATGTT